CAGTTTTGGAAGTATGGCCATTTTCACTAGATTAATCCTTCCTACCCAGGAGCAGGGGATGTCTGTCCATTTTCTGATATCAAAAGATACATTTTTTTAAAAAGACAGTTTTCAGTCAAAAGTGAAGCACTTCTCTGTTGCCAATCTTTGCTCATATTTTTTTTTGTACCAGGGATCAAACTCAGGACCTTGTGCTTGCAAGACAGGTGCAGCAACACTGAGCTAAATCTGCAGCTTCTTTGCTCATATTAAAAACAACTTAAAAGTGGTTAGTTTTTGTATCTAATCTCTAATTATTAAAATGATTATAAAATTTATTTTTACTAAAGAGATGCTATTCATTATGATAAAGTATTGCAGGATAAACTGTTTTATAAAAAATGAAAAGTTTTAAATCTAATTAAGTTATATTAAATTAGTTAAGTTACAATTAATAGTAATAACAAGACTCTCATTACAAAATACCCCTGTGCTAAGTGCTTAAAATATAGTTTTTCACTTAATTGTAAGCAATAGGATGAGTGGGATGGAGAGAGGAGATGGGTAGGGAGAATAGTGGAAAGGTATTGTAATTGTTCTAGAAAGGATAATTAGGGCCTGAACTTAAGTAAGGTGTAGGCAATAGAAAGGAGGGGAGAAATTTAGACATCGCAAGTGTGAATCTGAAGTATTGGAGCTGAAGAGTGAGGAAAGCAGAAAGCAGAAAGCCAGGTGGATAGGAAGAATGGTGGTATCACTGGACAAGGTGAATTCTGCAATAACGGCTGATGTTGTAAAGTCCAGAGATTCAATTCAGTTTAGGAGAGAGGATATGCTAGAGGCACATACTTACAAGTCATTTATTAAGAGGTTATAATTGAATAGAAACAGTCTGTCTTGGAAGGTTTACAGATTCATCTGCCTTGGACAATATGTCCCTAGAATCAATCTAACAACCTTCTCTGCCCTCCATCAATTTCTACCACTAGGTGTTTATGTAAATTTTTCTCAAATATACACTAAATTTCTCTCAGCTGGAACTCTTGCTGTTACTATTTTGCATTTGCTCAGTGGATCTAAATTCAGTATATCCAAAATGGAATTAATTATCTTTTCCTTCAATGGTGTTACCAGTCAGCCATAAGTTTTTGAGCCTAGAAATCTTGGAGCCATCTTCAACATCTCCCCGCCTCTCACCTCCCACATCAAACCTGTTACCAATTTTTTTTTCTATCTCCACTGAGCTTTTGGAATCCATGCTTTTCTTTCTGTAGATATCTTCTTATTTCATGATTAGCAGTAATCTGATTATGGTTTCCAAGTCTCAAGGCTTTTTCTGGACTAAATCATGATATACACAACTGCTATGTTCAACTTTCTAAAATAAGGACTTCATTATAGCACTCCTGTGACAGTTAATCTTGACTGTCAATTTAATTAGATTAAAAATGCCAGAAGAGGTGATTAGGTTTTGAGGGCCCCAGCCACATTAATGAGTTAATCCATTGGTGAATCATCAGCTGATGGGCTGTTAAGAGGTGATGCTTAGTTGGAGGAAGTAGGTCATGGAGGCATGGCTATGAAGGGTGTATCTTGTTCTTACCCTGCTTCCTCTCTAGCTTTTTCCTCTTTCTCTGCTTCCTGGGTTCCATGAGGTGAGCAGCTGTCCTGCACCATACCCTTTCACCATATTTCTGCCTCAGCACAGGTCTTAAAACAATAAAGCCAGCCACAATAAACCTTTCCTCTTTTATGTCACATATTTTGGTCATAGTGATGAAAAGCTGAGTAATAAAATTCTCTATTCAAAAATTGTGGATTGCTCCCGTTAGTTATAGCATAACGTCTAACCTCTCTACCATGGTATTCATGACCTTGCAAACATCTGAATGTAACTAACTTTTAAACTTATGTGTTTTTATTGTCTTCCTACCACCATATATGCTATTAGTCTCATTTACATGAATCACTGCAAAAAATGTCTTATTTTCTAACTTTCCTTTTTGTGTTAAAATTTTCTCAATCAGAAATGCTCTCCCCACCATCTTTAAAAACCTTTCTTAAGACCTAGTTCAGTGTTATTCCAATGTTTAGAGGCTTTATTCAATTCCCATGGTTGGAATTAATTTCTCCCCTCTTGTCATTCAAATAGCATTTATTTCTCAAATTTGGGATGTTTCTTGTTGAATGTGAATGCAGAGAAATTCAGAAGGAATGGGTCATTTTTAACTGAAGCACCTATAACGCCTTTGTTTCACTGAAAAAGTAGTATTTGAACTGTATACTATGAATGGCAGACATTTTGGCTATCATGGATGGAAAACTATAGCGTGTAACTGAAAAATACATGTACATTTAAATTAACAAAATTTATAAGAATAAAGGACACATAGCTATTAATCCTCCTCAAAATTACCTCCCCCCACACACTGAACACACCCTATTCTTCTTGCCACTTTCTGAAGCAGTTCTTATTTTGTCTTATTTTGTGTTCTTAATTGTGCTGTTGTGACTGGCTCCATGTTATGAATCAATTCAAAACATTTACCTTCTATGATCATTTTGACTCTGGAGAGCCAGAAGTTACATGGTACCAGATTTGGTGAATAAGATGGATGAGGCTACACCATAATGTTTTTATGAGGTTGCCTTTTCACTGAATAGCACTTAGCAGTAGGATTTACAGTATTTTAAAAATTACATCTCATAAATATACTCATGAAAGAGGACTTCCAGAACTGCTTCAGAAAGTGGAAAGAATGACAAGATAGGTGTATTTGAAGTGAGAGGGAATATTTTGAGGGGGATTAATGGCAACATACTTTTACAGTAATATTTTTAAAATTTAACATTCTCTGTATATTTTTATAACTTCTTGTATATTCCAGGTATGACAAAAGTATGAAGAATGAAATTATGCAGAACATAATATATTATTTGTGACAATAAGTATACTAGATTGACTGGAAGAGAAAGTTATTTTAGTGAAATGGTGGGAAATAAAATTGGGAATGTACTCTGGAAGCTTATATAGAAGACAGTCTCAGTACTTGCTTTTTTTCTTCAGAATTTGATGAAAATGATGAACTTCCACTCCAGAAAAAATTCACATAGGCTTATGTACTCAGATTTACTCAAATAATTTCAAGGAGCTCACCAATCCATCCAGTTTATTCATAGATTCAAGATTAAGGAATTTTGTTCTAGGAAACATGAAGCTACTGAGCAGTTTTGAGCAAGGACTCCATGTGATGAAATACAGTTTTAGAAACAACATCCCAGAGAAGTGCACAGGGTAGGGCATAGTGATACGGGGGTGGGGTGGGGTGGGGAGGGGAGGCTATGTGTGTGCAATTAGCCAACTACTTCTAAACTACACGGATGAGGTCATAGGGCCTGAACTAGGGTGGTTGGACAGGAAGTGGTGATTACAGGAGAAGCTTTGAAGGGAAAACCAATCTGGTGACTGATTAGATTCTGAGGCTGGAGTTGAAAGAAGGGCCAAAGATAACTGTCAACGTTGGATGCTGAGCGACCGGAAAAAAGAAGTTCTCATTCTTAGAAACGGCAATCAGAAGGGAACCTGGTTTTATAGGGGTAGTGGCTAGTTCAATTTAGGTATCCTGAGTGCTTAATGATTTTGGGTGCGGACAATCTCAACCCTAAAGTACAGCCAATTAGGTTGTTTTTCTTTGACTCCAAGCTAAATTTAGAGTAAGGCCTAATGCTAGGAACAGGATAATGACACCTTTGGATAAATACACATGTAGTAATTTTTATTCTTAATTAAACCATAAAGTTTCAAAAAAGGAGGCTAAAATTATGATCAAAATAACATTTTATGTATTAAAGATATTACTTAAACCTCTCTTAAGAGTCTTACGAGATTAAAAAGCAGTATAAATTATTTTGAGAAAGTAAGGAGACTACTTCATTGGTCATATAAATAACTTGAAATACTTGTTTTAGTTTGGTCACATTAAAAGGAAAATAAAGGGAAATGTATCAGTTACGGGAGGTTATGAGAGGTGAGCTTTAACCTAGATATCAGGGAGGGAACTAACAGCAACACCTGCTACTACTGTTCTCCCGGCTTTGTACTCCATGGTATGACAGCAGCACTTTGTTTTTCTTTTAATAAACTGCCACTTGCCCAATTCCCACCTTATAAGCTTGTTTTCATCTATTCTTCATGTAATAAATTTGAAAATTGTTGACTGGCTTTCACCAAATTTGACATCATAATAAATGTTATCAAGACAATCAAAATAAAGTTCTGATGCCATTTTACAACATTGATAATTTAAGAAACCAGTGTATATGAGATCAATGAATCAATGCAAGTTTCAAGTTAGGTGACTAAATTTATTTAGAACTTGTATTTGTCCACTGCATAATTGTTGTTTGCTAAAAATGTCCTAAAATGCTACTTTATTTCTGTAAGCATCATCTTGATTAAGCCTCAAATATTAAGAAGTTAACTCATTTCAATAAATATTTAATTTACCAACAAAGGTGAATCTAGGAAGCAAAATCCTATTATACCTGCTCTGTGACTTTATAAATAATGGACAGTTGCTTGGGCAGAAAGATCAGTTTATGCTTACCTGCAGTGGACAACAACAGGCCCTCGGCCCTCAGAAGCAAGTCTGTCTTTTTCCACATCCAGCATGAGCTGTAGAAGGGGCTGAGCACTGTCTGGAGTCTTGTGATCTGGCCATGAGGTGTACCAGTAATGCTTCACATGTTGGGTGTGACTTCCTTGCTGAAAATAGCAATAGCCACCAAATGCCTTACTCACTTGTGGAACTCAGAGTTATCCAAAACACAATCCTGAATGCCTTCTATAACTCCCATCTTCCTGGAAATTTATTTCTAGGTGGAAACAGTCTAGAAGACTTCTGAATAATATTCTTGCACCTTGAGAAAACTTTACTGTAAATATCCGACCTCTATGTTTGGCAATCTTGCATTTATGAAGTGGAGATATATATTTGTATCTATAATATAGATGATATATGTACCATAGGCTAAATCAAATATGTTTAAAATTTATTATAATAAATAAAATTCTTGGTGAAAATATAGCCATAAAGAATGCGATGTATTCTCTTTTTTGCTGTATAACCTTCTTCACAGTTTCTCATAAACATTAACCAGTATGTTTTATAAACATATTAGCCAATGTATTCAGTAATATAAATACTCTTATATTGCAACCTGAGTTCCAGTACTTAACTCAGCAGTAATCCCAGTAGTGAAGGAGCTATCTGGGATCCCTAGACTGGAAACACTTTGAGTGATGGCTCCCACACATCATCTTAAAACCCACTGCGCAGGTGGGGGCCTGGAATGGACCAGGCCTGTCGAAAACAGGTTTTGGTAAGTGCCTTCTTATGCTACACTTTCAAATAAAAATCATCACTGCAGCTGTGCCTCCACTTTCTTCTTTGTGATGGCTCTGTCTCAGCAGTGAGGCTACAGCGAGGATTGACATCTTCAGGATGATTATTCTTTACAAGGAAAAATAAAACTATAGCAAGATTCCTCAGCATCTGTTCAGGAATGAGTTAAATAAGACAATTTTCTACAAGATAAGTCGGTCTGGGGAAAGTCCCTATAAATTGCTGTAACTCTAAGTTTTTGAAGATCTCATCAACACTTCAGGATTGTCTTGCCTCCCACTGCCACCCACCAGTGCAGATTTTCCTTTTTGTAGCTTCCAGGCCTTACTTAAATCTGCTTAGATCAAAATGACATTTAAAAAAGAGTCATGGTAAAGTCTCCAGCACAATCCTTTAGTTAAAGGTTTTCTGAAGGTTAAACCTGAGATGTTTTATTAATGCAAATTAGAAGAGTCCAACATTCCACAAAGTGAACTTCATTAGTGTCTACTTATGTTAATTTAATTATTCCACATATTCACAGTAGCAGATAACAATGAGATGCACAAGGGAATGATTATTGTTTCTCATGATTTAATTTGAGTTGAATCTGTTATTTTTAGTAGGATAAATAATTTCAGAGTAGAAATGTAATCCTCCAACCTCATCTACTTTGTAGATAACTATAGCTACATAATCTTACCTTTAAAACAAGGTTTCGAATGGTGTAGTTTTCACATTCGTTTACACTGATAACCAGAACTTCAACTTTCCCATATATTCCTCTCTTTTCTGGCCAGTACAGCACACATTTCTGGAGAAGGAGAAAGAACACAATGAATACAAATGACTTTTGTTAGCTTTGAAGCCTTTATCTTTTAAATGTTTGAGAAGATTTTTTATTTTATTAATTAAAAATCAATTTCAATTTTTATCATTCTATAAATGAACTAAAGCTATCGAGCTGTACATTTTAAACAGGTGAATTATATGGTATGTAAATTATATCTCAGTAATGTTGTGTTCAGAGAAAGTAATGATTTTACATGTGCCTGTCAAACTCTATCACTACTAATTACATACCAAAAATAATAATAGTAAGGCAAAATTTCCCAAAACTCTACAGAGAGATTAAGAACTACTTAAAAATAAATTAAGACATTACTCTAAATATTAGAGTTTATCCTGTGATGATTAGAAATAAAAGGAATGTTCTCCCACAGTGACTGAGGCAAGGCAACTCAATCAACTGCTTCATCAGATTGATGTGTCTACGAGAAGTATCTGTGATGCATTAGGTGTGTAGAATGAAGTTTCCCTTGCATGTAAGGCAGATGTAATGACCATTAATGCATCCATAATATTATGTTTTCTAGGGCCAACACTGTTTTTCACTTATGGGATCCACTGAAATAAAAATGTACAAAAAATTATGTTTAACAAATATTTGTATAATGGATTCATATAAATATTTGTATAATGATCATATTGTAAGCAAGGCAATAAAGCATGGTGGTTAAAGAGCAGACCTTGGACTCAGAAAACATGAGTCCAAATTTTGATTCAACCACTTATTAGCTGTGAATCCATGAACAAGATATCTAATTTCCCTGGTATTGCTTTTCTCATAATTGAATACATGGAAAGTATTTAGGACAAAGCCAGGCATACTGTAAACACTTGAAACATATTATTATTTTTATTGTTATATTTTAAAACTACCAGGTAATAGATTGTTCATCCAAAGTGATTAAATCTTCATGCGCTAAATATTATTTTATTATTATTATATCTAGAAGCTATTATTAAAATAAAACTATAAAATGAGATTCAAAGATATATATGTTATTTATTACATTGCCTTTTAAACAATCACAAAAGAATTAATTAATTGAGAATTAATATTAATTAAGAATTAATATTTCACCACATATTTTAGTGATTAAAAATGTACAGGATGGAAGATGATGCTTTATTTCAAGTGCCCAGGGAAATAATGGTAATTTTAGAAATGTTTAAATATCATTTATCCTTGTCTCCCAAACACACATATTTATATAGAAATTCTTTTACTTTTTGCCTTCTATCAGTGTCCTTTGAGACCCTAGACACTTGGTTCTTTATATCTATGTCAAAGACATATGAACACACTTAAAAATATAAATATCATACTTATAGATTAGAAAAAGCAACAAAAGAATCACACACTAACAGAATTAAAGAAAAAACAAAGTTGTAAACACACCTATGGGTTTTTATAATTAAATACCTACTACTGTCCATGTGAAACCGTAAGAAATATCCTTCAGCTAGTGGAATCACAGTTTCTTTCATCCATTCTAGTAAAAACCTATTTACATCACCCATATTTTGACCTTCTTCTTAATGAAGTAAATTGTTTCAGCTTCATTTACATCCCACCCAAGGTCACTAGGCAATTAGACTAAATACTTGGTCTGCCTGACTTAGTGCTAACGTTATGGAAAGAAATATTTTTAAAATAGAGCCACTTATTTCCTTCCACAGCTACCAATTGCTAAATATCTAAAATTGTCATGTTACAGGTAATCATATTAACCAATTTGTCTGGTTTCTTTCAATGAAGCATCAATTATTTTGCTTTAAAACCCAAGCTATTGTGTATCTTAAAACTCACGTCTACCACATAGGTCCAAGAAGAGTGACGAAGTATCTTGAAAAACAAAATTGACCAAAGCAGACATATGCAGTGGTCCCACAGACTGGCGTATGTGCCCATTGTCCATGACAAGACCTGAGCAACCATCCCCCTCCAGGACAAATCAGTGGGAGAAGCTGCCAGGCAGGAGCTTGCAGTCCTGTACTCTTAATTTTAACAATACCTGAAGCAGGCTTCTGTACCTACTTGATAAATAGAAGCAGCCCTCGCTTCTCTTCCAGGTTTACTGGGGCCTTCTTGAATGTTTTCCTTGACTCTTTACCAAAAAAGCAATTGGCAGCCAGCTCCCAGTAGACAATGTAATGTGACTTGTTCATTCAAACAGTCCTTAATTAGCATCCCATCTCCTTTCTGAGATACAATAGTGCATTTTTACACATTGAATACATTTTCCTTCTTTTAAAAGAAAGTAAAAAAAGAGAGAGACCAGATAATTGTGGGTGCTTTCGAATATGTTGTGGGGGAGGGCTGCAAATCTAGTTATTTCCAATAGCTCACGTTCATGTTCAAGTTATTTTCCTGAATAGCTTTTTAGGGTTTCTTTATTGTACCACTAACAAGGACATGAAAGAGGCAGAAAATGCAAAGAAGGAAAATGCTGTCTTATGGATAAGATTATGAAGCTACTGTAATTGTAGGTAATTCAAAATAGCATGGTAACTAGCAAAATGTAACACTAAATCATCACTATTCTCTCCCTAACTAGGATGATCTTTTCAGAAAAATTGTCTATTAATCCTAAGTATCTGTAATTTGGAGAAAAAAGAGGTTTTTTCAGAGGATCATGTGTCTCTTGTGCAAACAAGGAATTATTGAACCTCAGTTGAGAAGATTGTAGACATAAATTGATTCTTTGTAATCAGTGGTTTATTCCAAAAGTAGAATGCAATGTGAAAAAAATGCAAACTCATATTTTTATAATCTTTTTTTTCTTTGTTATCCACCAAGTTAAAGCTATTTGTGCTTAAACAATAAAGATGTATTGCTACTAGTTTAGTTGCCTGGAAACTAATTTATTTTAAAGTTATTTTGTTTTTAGATTCTGTATAGTAAAATCAAAGAGATTTTGCTTTATGTCCTTAAGGCGTGTATCGTCATGTAGAAAGTAGCTCTAAATAAATAAAAAGAAGTTATAGATACATTTATTCCTAGATCTCCAGCTAAATATTACTAACATAAACACAGTGACTTAGTATTAAAAACACTTTCACCAACATTATATCATTTAATACCTTCTACAACCTTTTGAGGTAGTATTACTTTTTAAGTTATTTTAAGCTAAACCAGCTGAGGCTCAGGTGCTTTGGCAGGGGGCTCTGGGAAAATTCTCTTGGGCACTGAGACCATCTGAGAAGCCACCACTTTATGAATTTTACTTTCCACCTTTATTTCCACACTGACTTTTAACCAACTTGATTTCAGGACAACATTACCTTCCTTCTGTAACCTATGAAACCTCATTGATTCCTGGATGTTCCTGGCCCACCTTGGCTCTTACAAAACTATTATTTCTCTTACCACTTGTTGAGCTGTATGTTCACGAAGTTGTATTTAGAACGAAATCCTTTGATGGCAGTTGTACTTGTTATTGAGGCCTAGTAATTTAATTAAATATGACATAAATCAATAAAATAGGAGAGTGTGTTGGAGCTCAGAACAATCTTCTGAAGTGCGGTACTTTGGTATGTTGAGTACTTTGAACTTAGGTGACTGGAAGGCCTCAGAAGAAAGTCTCTCTCTGACATCTTGCCTTCATTTGTCCTGTTCCTTTTTCTCCTCAAGGAAGGAGACAGATACCAGAATTTCTTTTCTCCAAGGTGGGTCATTGAAACTAGAACCCCTCTCCTCTAAAGCAAGCCATAGAACCTGGAAATATTACTCTAAATTTCCCTGCTTTTCAGAGTAGCTGTTGGCCATAAAAAATTCTCTGACCTACCTTGCTTGAGAGTAGATCAGAAGTCACTTGCTCCATAAGGGTTTTGACCCACACTTGAGAGGAAGGAATGGTATATGGAGGACAAGAACTCTCTCCTTTCATTCTGTTACCATTGTCAGACCCTTTTGTTCAATCACATTTCTACATGACTATTCATGCTTCATCAAATGTAGACATGCAAACAGTCAGTTTTCTCTGGTTCTTGGGGCCTTCGTTTCTTACATAAGTTTTGATTAAATAAGTATGTTGTGCTTTTCTCTGTTAAACTGTCTTTTTTATACAGGAGTCAGGTGTGACTCTTATGATAGGAAGGAAAGATGTCACACCTTTCTACCTCTAAAGTAAGAATTAAAAAAAAGACTTGTTTTATAATTATAAGTTAACTGTATAAATTGAGTAAGTTCTGCACTGAAAAAAGAGTGATATAGTAAAGAAAACGACAGTCAAATCAGGCAAAGATGAGAGAATCATAAATGTTTGTATTAAGTTAAAAAATCTAAATACTATTCTGCATTTATATTGTTTTACTAGCTTTTCTAAGTTCTTTCTTGCTTTAAAGTAACTGAAATGAGAAATTTTCATGATGTGCAAAGAGTGTGAAATATACAAGATATATGATATAGGACTCTTGCATGAGAGCAACATTCAAACACACAAAAAGACAGCTAAGAAAGTGTTGTGCCACTGAGCTACATTCTCAGTCCAGTAAATCTTAATATGAGCAAGTGTACACATCTTGAGATAAAATAAAGCATTGGAACCTTTTTTAAATTCTGTATTCTGTTACTTTGATTAACTTGTCAAATAAGAGGGCTTTTAACTAAGAACTAAAGCAGGCTAAAGAAATTTGAATGTGACATAGCAGAAAATTTAGGGTATAGACTTATGTTTAGAATACCATATAAGCATGTTTGAAAGGACAAGTAATTTTGCTTGGGTGTGTTGAGGCTCAGAAAATGACATACCAGAGTACTGTATGGTGCTTTGACACACCGAGTTCTTTGAAGGAAAGCAGAAAGCTCAGAACTAAGGTATCTCTGACATTTTTGTAGGCCATCTCTGGCCTCTTCATCTCTCCTGAAGCTTACAAAGGCACTCCTCTGAAGTTCCCTTATCTAACTAAACCAAATACTTCCAGAGTGAATTTAATCATCATAAACCCTCACCTTATAATCTGATC